GAATTTGCACTCTGAAATTGAATTTGCTTAAAGTGAGGTGTGAGCATGCTGTCCTCTCTCCCCGGCCCACTCCGAGGAGCAGAAGCCTCCAAGCGTCCCAGCCCTGCCCCAACACCTCTGCGTAGCACCCAGCCCTCACCTCCAGGTGAAAGCAAGAAGGTTTCACAGAAGAGGGTGAATCAGCCACGTACCCTGGTCTCTGGACCTTGACAGGCTTGGAGTCATGTGGCACTCTGTGGTTTCCCTTAGGTAAAGCTTCCCCCTTGTTGGTTTCTGTATCATCTTCTGAATCCCAGAAAGACTCAGTTTAAGCATTTATCTGGTCTAGGCCTGAGCACCTAGGGAAGATACAGTCTTTCTAGAGTCCTTCCGCCTCTGTCTCTTCCCAGAGAACCTGTTTCTAGTAAGGTCAAAATGCTAGGTAGAAGTGTCTCCCTCAGGCCCTACCCTGAACAAGAAATAGCACGGGCAAAATGAAGGATGATAGCCATCTGGGTTCATTTCGAGAACACACACACTTGGGTCATTTTGACCAAAGATGTCGTTGAGAAACCCTGCCTCCTCCAGGAAGCCTTCCAGGGCATTTCGGGGAAGAGCCAAAAGCTTGGTTTTGTTTTATCCAGCTGGAACCCTTACAGGTAACCGCACCCCTGCCCCATCTCCTTTACGATTACTGCACAGAGGCACTCAGTGAACACTAAATGAGTTAATGAATGAATTCTTAAGAAGCATATTGGCCACTTACGATGTGCCAGGCATATTTTGGGAGATACACACTCAAATCAGACATGGGCCCTGGCCTCATAGAACTGAATCCAGTGACTGATGTGGATGCATCGTGAGTGCCTCGGTGCTCATTCATTCGTGGTGCCTTCAGCTCCGCTGTGTCCCGACCTCCAAGTCGGTGTCCGCAGGCAGCCATCCATTAAGCTCGTTTGCAAAGTGCCTGCTCTGTGCACAGAACGTAGGAACTCAGAGAGGAAAGACCTGGTTCCTGCGCTGAAGGATTTCGTAGGCCACTGGAGAATGGCCTGGAGGGGGCAGCAGTGACCAGAAACACCCCCAAAGTTTACATCCCCATGTGAGAGGTACAGTGGTGATGCTCTGCGGGGTGGTTCTGAGGGGGATCCAGATCCTTGTCTGGAACGCTGAGAGGCAGCGAGGCAAGGGACAGGACCCCTGACTTCCAGGTCTAGTTGGCCCCCTGCTTATCACCTGAGACAGAACAGGATGGGCCTTGCCTGAGGGTCAAGATTCCCCGAGATCAAGGGGGTCAAGTGCAGAGGACCATTCAAATGTTAATAAAAGGTTTTTCTTTTTCTCTTCCTTTTTTTTTAAGATTTTATGTGTTTGTCAGAGAGAGAGCTAGCCAGCAAGCACAAGGGGGCGGGGTGGGCATCAGGCAGAGGGAGGAAACTCCCCTAGGAGCAAGGAGCCCGATGTGGAACTCAATCCCAGGACCCTGGGATGATGACCTGAGCCAAAAGCAGACACTTAACCAGCTGAGCCACCCAGGCGTCCCAATAAAGGAATTTCTTGAAGACAGAGCCATTTCTGTCCTTAGCAGTCTTGTTGGACAGGCTTATGTGGATAAGAGACGAAGTTCTCCAGCCCCTTTCACACTTCAGAGCAGTTTCTTTGCCCGGCGCCTTGATTTCTTTCCTACTAAGGGCAGGCGAACCTCCACTAGATCTCCTCTGCCCTGTGTTCCGGAGCCTGGACACTTAGGGAGAGCCTGGCACAGGCCCACAGCCCTGAGCAGGCGCCAGAAGTTGAGTCTAAGCTGTGAACCTTGGACTCAGCCACACAGAGAGGAATAGCTCGCTGCGCACACCAAATCCTAGCTGGGAGGGGAGATGGGGCTGGAGAGCTTCCAAGTTTGCCTGCAAGGCTTCGGGAATGTTCCATTTGTTCCAGCAAGGGAATTGTAACTGGAATGCAGTACAATACGGTGTGCTGGAAAACACTCCCAACTCCTGTTGGCTTCCGAATGCCTTTCTCAAGACTATAAAGCTCTTGGGAATTTTTAGAAACTTTAAAAAATCATTGTTATTTTCGCCTTGAGTACAATAAAATCCTGATTTTTAGTCCACGTTTTTATTTTTAGATTAGCACCTGACTAAATATAATAATGCTAATTTAATACTCTATGTAATAACATTCATAAGAAACAGATGCCAATTTCCCCATTTAACAAATGATGCAAGGTGTTAAATTGATTTAAAATAACTGTCTAAAAATGATTTGTTGATGAATAAATTTTGAAATAACATATTGTGTTATCTTGGGGAGCCATAGGAATATTAAGACAGATTGAGATTTCACTACATGTTGAGTAATGGCATCGAAAATAGACATAAACTATTTTCATTACCTACTACTAGAATTCTTGAGATTTCCCCCCCCGGAGTTATTTTGATACATTTTAGTGTTTTGTTTCTAAATGGCAAGAAAAGAGGAGGTTTTAGGCTGCTATTTGCAAGCATGTCTCAGGAAATAAAGCCCAAGGACGTGGAGGCATTTTCATCAAATGAAGAGTCAAATTAGATATATTGACACTATTGATTTTTAACATTAATTTTCAAGGTACTAGAGAATCTTCGTTGCTGTGGAAGAATTTTAATCAAATAATAACAAGGAGCTGAATAAAGAGCATCCTTAGGCTAATTTGCAGAATTATCCTCATTTATGTGCTATCATTAACTTAATGCGTATTAACACTAATGTTCCATAAATACTTTCTATTTAAACAATTCTTCATTTTGAAATTAAATAAATGCTATATGACCACATATAAAACAAATTACAAATTTCTTGTCAATGTGTGGGACTTGATTAGATCCTCAGTCAAAGAAATGAACCTGCAAAAATCACTTGTTGGGAGTAGCTAGGGAAATTTGAATATGGACTAGATATTAGATGATATTAAGGAATTACTGTTAATTTTGTTGGGAGTGATAGTATTGCCCTGGAGTTACACAGAAAACTTCCTTTGCAGTGCATACTGAAGGGTTCAGGGGTGAGGTATCATGCTGTCCGGGATTTATGTTAAAATACCTCACCAAAAAATAGATTAAAGTAAATATGGCAAAATGTTAATAACTACTAAGCCTTGATAGGCATATGGAGGGTTCTTACACTTTTCACAGTACTTCTCTGTTTTAAAATTTAAATTTTATGGGGCACTGGGTGGCTCAGTCGGTTAAGTGGCTGCCTTCAGCTCAGCTCATGATCTCAGAGTCCTGGCATCAAGCCCCACACTGGGCTCCCTGCTCAGCAGGCAGTTGGCTTCTCCCTCTCCTCTGCCTCTCCCCATCTCATTCTGTCTCTCAAATAAACAAATAAAATATTTTAAAAATAAAATTTAAATTTTATTATGAATTTTAAAAATCTAAAATTTTCATAATAATGAGATTTAAGGAAAAATTCCACAAAGTAAAATGAAATGTAACCAGTATTCCTACCCCCCACTGGCTCCCTCTAGTGGCTGGTGGCGTTAAACCGAGGGGAGATGGACAGTCCCGCTCAGCCCTCACAAGGCTCTACCCACCCCTCCGCCTGCAGCTAGCCGCTACCATACACTCCAGCTCTCCAACGGTTTCATTCTTTTCTTTGTTCTTATTGGAATTTTACAGAAGGAAATTGAGACTGACATTATTACTTCTTTAATGACTTGAATCCATCCAGAGGAGCAACTTCTCATAGGTTGGAGGGCCACCAGTTGGAAATCACTGCAGTAAGACAACCTGTGTCTGAGCCTGGTGGGTTCTGTCTGTCTTGACTGAGGTGGACAGGGAAGGCTTTCATGGATGGCCTGTGACTTCAACTTAGAAAAGAATATCTGTTGAAAGTCTCAGATCTTCCTTTTCTTTGGGGAGGGTAGATTCATGTAGGGTGGTGGGGAAGGAGGAAAACAGTAGATACTCTCTTTTTTAAAATTTTTTTCAATTTAATTAACATATAATGTATTATCAGTTTCAGAGGTACATGCCTATGATTCCTCAGTCTTACATGGTACCCAGTGCTCATTACATCACATGCCCTCTTTAATGTCCATCACCCAGTTACCCCATCTCCCCACCTCCCTCTCCCCCAGTAACCCTCAGTTTATTTCCTATGATTAAGAGTCTCTTATGGTTTGTTTCCCTCTCTGGTTTCATCCTGTTTTATTTTTTCCTTTCCTCCCCTATGATCCTGTTTTGCTTCTTAAATTCCACGTATCAGTGAGATCGTATGATAATTGCCTTTCTCTGATTGACTCATTTCGCTTAGCATAATACCCTCTAGTTCCATCCATGTCATTGTAAATGGCAAAATTTCATTTTTTTTGATGGCTGAGTAATAGTCCACTGTATATATATACCACATAGTCTTTATCCATTCATCTGTCGATGGATATCTGGGCTCTTTCCGTAGTTTGGCTTTTGTGGACATTGTTGCTATAAACATTTGGGTGCACGTGCCCTTGTATCTTTAGGGTAAATACCTAGTAGTGCAATTGCTGGGTTGTTGGGTAGCTCTATTTTCAACTTTTTTTTTTTTTTTTAAGATTTTATTTATTTATGACCGGAAGAGTGAGAGAGCACAAGCAGAGAGGGAGAAACAGGCTTCTCCTGTTCTCCATCAGGAGAACCCCAATGTGGGGCTCGATTCCAGGAACCTGGGATCATGACCTGAGCCAAAGGCAGATGCTTAACCATCTGACCCACCCAAGGGCCCCTAGTTTCAACTTCTTGAGGAACCTCCACACTGTTTTCCAGAGTGGCTGCACCAGCTTGCATTCCCACCAACAGTGTAGGAGGGTTCCCCTTTCTCTGCATCCTCACCAGCATCTGTCATTTCCTGACTGGTTAATTTGAGCCCTTCTGACTGGTATGAGGTGGTATCTCATTGTGATTTTGATTTGTATTTCCCTGATGCCGAGTGACGTTGAGCACTTTTTCTTCTGTCTGTTGGCCATTTGTAAGTCTTCTTTGGAGAAATGTCTGTTCATGTCTTCTGCCCATTTCTTGAGTAGTTATTCTCTTAGTTGACCTCCTCTGAATAGCCCATACCCCGCAACTAGGTTGACCCTGACATTCCATTCCCTCAGAAAAAACAGATGACCTCCAACCAGGATACCCAGAAAGCTCACAGCTAGTAGATCATATTCTAACTCTCCCCAGCACTGTTGCCCCTGCCAAGTGACCTGTCTGCTTACCGAGAGTCCCTTCTGCTCGTTCCAAACTTGTTTATGCCGGTTGTTCTTATTGGTATGACTGACTAAAGGACAGATGAGCCAATAAAACGTAAGTGTGGGATCCTCATCAGACAATCCATGTCACAAAAGAGTGAACACAGCTTGGCAATTAAATGAACTTTTTCTTATGTCTTAACATAAAATATGTAAGAAGTGTAAGGTGTACATTTCCATTTAAGTGCTTTTCAGTGGCTACCAGGTATGTAATGAGACAACTCCTTCATCTCGACTGTATCGGATAAGAGGTTTTCCATCATCTTAGGATTTTCTGTCCAGACTTGAATGAAAATAATCCCAAACCAGATCACTTAAAAACCATTTTTTTTCTACTGAGCCTCGTCAGGGAGTATATGGATTTTGTCCCCACAGACTTATCTCCTGGCATTTTATTTAGAATAATTAGTAAGATCCACTTGCATTTTCTGAGCATGCACTGGTAGCTGGGGACAGACACTTTCCTCACCCATCCCCCCACACCCCACTTCAGCCCAGGGAAGCTGCCTGACCTTCCATACATTGGAGCACCACATGTCCCGTATCCAGCTCTAACCATATTAGAAAGGAAGGACAGTGAACCCTGTAGGGAGGCTCTTCCAGAACATTTCCCTTGGTTCTTTGAGACCAGTTAGGGGTTTTGGGATCACTTTCCTTCATATGACCAGTTAGAGAAGGGACCCTGGAATCCATGCCCTGGGCTCTCCAGAGCAGTGAGGAGGAAGCCTGAAGCTTCAGCTCTGGGAGGAGCTGCCAGGCATTGGCCACATCCTGAATGATGATTCTCTTGGGGTGGGGCAAGGGCATCTTACCTCTGATCCCAGCTGCCTTAGACCTCCATGCCAATTCCAAGGTCAGAGATGTGTCAGACCACTGGCAGGTGGAGACAGCCCTTGGAGCTGTCCCATCACAGCCCAGGACTCGGGCAGAGACTATACCTACAGGAACAACCTCACGGCCCCTGGGGGAATCTGGCTGCAATTTAAGGTGAAAGAATCTTGCCCTCTCTGAGCTTCAGTTTGTTCATTTCCCTAGCGGAGGAGAGTGACCTATTGGCTTTTGTGGTCCCTTTCAGCCCTGCCTGTCCCAGAGGCAAGGACCTAGGAGCCACGGTGAGACCAGCCACCAGCAGAGAATGCACACTACCCAACCAGCGCACCTTACTCAGGGTGAAGGGGTGAATAGGATATCCCTGAATGGGGGGTGAGAACCCAGGTCTTGGCAAACTCTTCCCCTCCCCAGGGGTAGATCTTGTCTGCCAAGATCCTGAATCTCTGCGAGGCAGGGGAGGGGCTGCGCCCACTGATTTGTGGGAGGGGCAGGGAGGAGATCGATGCGGGCGGAGCCCTAACTGTGGGCTCAGGGCTGATGGGGGAGTGCTGCCTGACGGATTCCTTCATTTTACCGGAATGTCCTGGGAAGGAAACACCTCTTGGGACCTTTGTCAGGGGAAGGGGGTAGGTTCCAGGACGCGGGGCCAGTCACCGGCCTATCATGCCCTACCGCTGGTGGCTCCACTCCTGGGCTGGGGAGGGAACGGCTCAGTCCTCTTTGGGCGCCCGGAACTCCGGCATGCTCCAGGTCCGGAGCGGCGGCGGCGTGTCCCGCTCCACGTCCTCGGAGATGGTCCGGATATCACTGGTGAAGGGGGAGATGCGCGCTCGGGTCTTGAAGGTGGCCAGCGCCAGGGGGCCGTGGGGCCGCAGGCTCCACTGCCGAGTCAGCTTGTGGGCCTCCTCCTCCTGCTTCATTCTCTCCAGGACCTCCTGCAGCACCGAGCGGAAGAGCTGGGACACCTCCTGCACCTCGGGCTCCTGCTCCGCCAGCAGCTGCCGGAACCTGCGGGTGTGGGGCCGGGCAGGTGTCAAACCACCCTGGCTTCCCTGTGCACGCCCAGGGGTCAGTTCCCTTTCCAGCAGCTCCCCACTTCTGACGTCAGTCAGAAACCGCTGCACCTCCCTACCGCTCCGGCCAGTGCTGAGTTCAAATCCTCCCCCTCAGCTACTTCCAGCCTCTGTGGGCCTCAGCTTCCTCATCTGTAAACTGGGGTCATAGCTACTGTTTTCTCTCTCTCTCTCTCTCTCTCTCTCTGTGTGTGTGTGTGTGTATGACATGTGTGTCTATGTCTATGTGTCTGTAAAGATCCTGACATTGACTCAGGTTATCAATGCCAGAGTAGTAAGGGGAGCCCACTGCTACCATGGTCTGGCCTTACCTATGCGAGGCTTTCTGGCTAACCTCTGCCACCCTTCTCTCCCCAGTAGCCTGAGTGATCTCTTCAAAATGTCTATGTGATGGTGTCACTGCCCTGCGATACTCCTTCCAAAGCTCCTGGCCACCGGCTGGGGGAGGTTTTCCTCTGCCTAAAACGTCTCTGCTTAGAGCTCAAAATGACGGATAGTTATCAGCAAGCCCACTTAGTGGTTTCCTCCACCACACTGTGAGTCAGGACTTCTCACACTTTTCAGCAGTGGGACGGGAAAGCTGAGGGGGTGATCACGATCATACGTGTGTTCCCAGACTCCCCCTCTTTTATGAAGTTTAATTTATCCACCTGGCTTCTCTAACCAGCCCCATCCCCATGACTCACTGCCCCCATTTCCCCCATCCCCAGGTGCTTCTGGAGGTAGGTACATTTTGGGGGGATTCTGAAGTACAGAACAAGAGAACCTGGAGAGGATAAGATTCTCAGCCTGAAGGAAGAAGGGGGGGGGCAGGGCATGACAAAGAGTACAAAATCCAGTGGGCTATGGATAGGACTGGAAACAGAGAAGGAATTTAAGGAGAATTTCCAAGAAAAAGGGGGTACAATAGATGCTTACATTGGTTAAAGAGATGTGTGGCTGGAGATTTGGGGGATGTTCTGACGTTTTATTGTGGACCCGTATTCCTTTACTAGTGTTTGAGAACTGCACGTGAACCCGAGCAACTTTTGAAATTACTGTTGGTTGTTGGACTACATTTCTTCGACTTTAACACGAACCCAGCCAAGACTGGGCCCTGTGGGTCAAACTTTATTAAGGTTACATTTATATTCAGGACAACTGTGGTACCCAAGCTCTAAATCTCTACGTGTTCAATGCCCCAGGCCTTGGAACACTTCACACACACACACACACACACACACACACACACACACACACAGAGTCCCCTGAGGCAAACTGTTATGAATGCTAGTGTGACAAAGGATAATTAAAAACTGAATTTTGGGAAAATTGTCTGCAAAACCTTTCTAAGAAGGTAATACGGACAATAAACTAATGGAGGAGAAAGAGCCAGCTGTGTTGAAATCCAGGGTAGTGATAATCCAGGAAGAACAGAAAGCTCAAAGGCCTGAGGTTCTCTCCCATGAAAAGTCCTGTGCCCCCCAAGAGCTGCCTCCTGCCTCCTTCTGAGCCCTTAGCTCTGGCCTGGTGTGCTCTGGGCTCTTGCCGATTCCTCCTTCTGCCTCACTCCTTTTAACAGATCCCTGGATCATGCAGCTCCCTACTCCAGTCCTGCCGGCTTCGGGCCCCTCTCCCTGAGGCTGCACCCCTGGGGTGGCAGTGCACCTCTGGGCCCCGTGCCCGTGCAGGGGTTACCTGAGGATGGCGGGCCCACAGTAGGAAGGGTGGATCTTGGCACAGACGTCCTCTAGTTGTAGCCGCTCGCCAGGGCTGAGGTCGTAGGTGGGCCGGGGGGCGCTGGCCAGCCAGCTGTAGTCGACCCCAGTGCAGATCTTCCTGACTGCGTTGCCGCGCTCCCACTGCTGCCTCTCCGCCTCTCGCATCTGCCCTGCCAGCTCCATCATGAGCGTCTCCAGCACCATCTCGGTGGGCCTCCGGGAGGACAGCCTCGAGGGGGCTTCATTCCACCGCAGCCAGGGCGTGAGGGACATGGCCCCCCCAGCCCCTGCCGAGACAGGGAAGGAGTGCGTCTTTCTTGGGCCCCTCTGTCAGGGTGGGGGAGAGCAAGGGGGAAGGAGGAGAGCTGGGACCTGAGAGAAGAACTGCTCCGCCGTCACAGCTGGGTGGCCTGGAGTAAGTTGCTTAACCTTTCTGAGCCATCATTTCTAATTCTGGAAGACAAGATTGGGCTGTTGTGAGAAGCAGTTGTGAATAAACTTGGGGCACTCTAAGCGCCACATGAAAGTATGATAGTCTCATGGTTATAATGATCCCTGATACATCCTGATGGCGGAGGCCAGGGAAGATGCCTCCGGAATCCTCATGAACTCCAAATAAAGAAGGAAATATACTGCGTATGGCTGAGCACAATCTTATCCCTGCAATTTAAGGGGGAAAAATACATGACTGCATCTTCTGTCAACCCAAAAGGAACACACCCTGGGTTTCTTAATGCCCCAGTCTGCTGCTGAAGGAAGCCTGGAACTGTATGGGGTTGACCTCATCCTGCAAAGGACACAACTTACCTACTGTTCATTCATTCATTCAGAAGCACTGATCAAGCATTGTGTGCACATCTGTGGAAGAACACACACAGGAAAGTATATCAGGGACCTGATGCCCAGGAGATGTCAATGGAAAGAGGTAAATGGGAGTGGTGAAGCATACTGTGGGCATTGATGGGGAGGGGAAGGAGTGACTCTGGGGGTGAGGGGGGTCTTGGAAGGTTTGTGGACAAGAGCAGGCTGAAGGGGGAATACTGGCTTCAGACACATGGACTGATGGAGAAGGTGTCCCAGATGGAGACCCAGCCATGGTACAAGGAGAGATGTGTGCAAGGAGCATCAGCTTCAGGAGCAGGGACCTTAACTCATCATATTTCCACAAGGTCTTGTACAACACAGCTTTTGTGAATGGCTGACTGGATGGGTGGATGGGTGGGTGGGTGGATGGGTGGATGGATGGATAGATGGATGGACGGATGGATGGATGGTGGATGGATGGATGGTGGGTGGATGGGTGGATAGATGGATGGACGGATGGATGGTGGATGGATGGGGGATGGATGGATGGATGAATGATGCCTGTCAGAAATGGGTTTGTGCCTCTGACAGCAGTGATGGTGAGGGCCATTCCTGGGCTAAAATCTAAAGTGGGTCTTTGAGATGCCCCAATTCCCCTGTCTATGCCTTCCTCCCCTCTAAGGAGCTCCCCATTCCTGCACCAATGGTCTTCCTGCCCAGACCCTCCAGATGCTGAGAAAAGTGACCGGATGAACTCAGTCTCAGCAACATAGCTGTGAAGCATGGAGACACACACATTTTTAGGCAGCCCTCCCACCACCCTGCAGAGAAATGAACTGTTAATGCTTGAGAATCAGACACAAATAGGAAAAGTATTATGGGGCAACAGTAGCCTCCTGGAGTGGCATCAACGAAACTTCCTCTTTACCCATGAACCACCAGTTCCCTTAGCAACCATTATATTTAGGAAGTTTAAAACTTTCACCCTCCACTCAGCTAAGACTGTCACCAGCGGGGCCTCAAATTACACCCTGACTCCTTCCCCGGGAGGTTGGGAGGGAAGGACACAAACCATCAGATTCTGTTCTTGGGATCAGGACACTTAGAAGATTTACTTCTCCGCCCTTAACTGCTTCCTGTGTTCAGAATCATAAAGCTGGGTGTAGTGTGGGGAAAGGGGTGAGGGATGGAGGTGGGCTGTGTTCTGTCCTGAGAGCTGAGCACCTCTACCCAAGGCAAAGGGATCTGGTTGAATCAGGCAATGGGACCCCTTGTAACTGAACATGCTATGTTCCCTGTAGTAGCAGGTGTTTGTGTTTTTACAAGTACACGGGTCAGGTTGATGCTTAACAGCAGAAGAGTGAGCGGTACCAGGTCAGGTGTTCATTCAACTGCATGGAAGGGTACCCCAAGTCTGGATGGGTTACCAGTCCCCACAGGGGCTGCTGGTGGTGCTGGGCCACTCACAGCCCCGTGCTCTCTCAGTGTCCCTCCCTCCCCTGCCTGGGAACTTACCACTAGACTCAGCTCCTCTCTGGAAGTGTTTCCTGACACCTTCCCTGACACACTTTTCCTAATGTGATCACTCTCCACTTGGTCCCCTGACTGCACTCTGCACAGACATTTTTTTTTTAAAGATTTTTTTTTTTTTTTTTATTTGACAGATCACGAGTAGGCAGAGAGGCAGGCAGAGAGAGAGAGAGGAGGAGGCAGGCTCCCTGCTGAGCAGAGAGCCCGATGCGGGACTCGATCCCAGGACCCTGAGATCATGACCTGAGCTGAAGGCAGAGGCTTTAACCACTGAGCCACCCAGGCGCCCCTGCACAGACATTTTTCACAGCCCCAGGAACACTTCATGGAGCGTGACCATCTGCCTCCCGGACTGTGTGTGTCCTACGTGGGCGAGGATCATGCCCTATTCATGCTTCCCTCCCTGGTGCTGGATGGTACTGCTGTGGTGCTCAATAAATGCCAAATGAATGAGTGAATGAACAAAGGAATGAATGATGAATGAATGCAGGCAGGCATCGTGGTGGGAGAGCCAGCAGCCCCACAGACCTGACCTCCCCCAAATGAGGGGGCATTTGTCAGCGGCCATGGGAGAGACAGTCCCCTCTGGCCCCCATGGCTCCACACTCTCCTGTCACGTGGAGACCCCTCCTCAGGAGGAGATATTGACCGAACTGTGTGGTCATGAGGACTGACCCTACCGGGATGGTTCCTGCTTCTCTGCCCCACTGAGCCTCACACTAGGACGCTTCCAAACCTGGCCCAGGCCCTCCTTCCCCAGGAAGACATCTTTGGTTAACCTCCCTCAATCCTTCCATCCCAACATCGCCCCCCCGCCCATCACCAGGCCATACTGCACCTGCCCCTCAATGCTGGGCACCTGTCCCTGGAGTTTCACCAGCCTGGAAGATGAATGAATGGGGAAGAGACCAGTGGGACTCAGGGTGGAGGGATGTAATGCCTTGGAATGAATGTCACCTGCCTCAGACCCCCTCCCCTCTCCAAACACCCTCCACTCCCTGCCACACCCCTTCCGACAGCACAGGTCCTAACTCACCTGAGGCTTCCCAAACCCAACCCCACTGACCCTTCCTTCCTGTGGAAAGAATCTTCCATTGGTTTACATCAAGCCACAATCTTTGGTCCAGGTCCCACCCCGGTCTGCCTTGTACCTCAGTCTGCCTCCTGGGACTCTGGGCACCCCTCCCCTGGCCTTCCTTGGGTTGTTGCTGTTCCTTGGGGCTCTGTCCAAGGCTGTCTTGTTTTAATAGGCCTCATCCTTTCACTCGTCTCTAATTACTTCCTCAATGTCCGTAGCTCCCAAATCAAAATCCGGAAGCCATTTGTCTCTTGAGCTCCAGGTGCGGGTGTCCAGATGCTTCCTGGACACCTCCCCTAGCAACTTCCACATCCTTCCCCTGTAGCTGCTGCTTCTCCCCGGCCCCGGCCTGGCAGTGGGCATAAACTAGTTGCCCAGTCTAATGCATCATCCTCGTCTCTTCCTTTGCCCCATCGGTCAGATCTTACATCCAATTCCTGTTGATTCTTCCAAATTTAAGTATTATCATTCTCCTAAATCTGTCCATTCTCTTCCTCCTTTAGTTTTGGTCTTGACCATCTGCCAGATGTATTACAGATGCTTCTGGCCAGCACCCCAGGGCTGGTCCTTCTAATCTAATCTCCACTCTATTTCCCTTTTATTGTGGTGTTTTTAAAAAAAGCAAATAACATGAAATTTACCATCTGAAAGATTTTTAAGAGTACAGTACAGTGGTGGTAACTATAAGCACGGTGTTATGTGATTATTAAGTGATCTCTAGCACTTTTTCCTCCTGCAAAATCAAAATTCCATACCCACTGAACAGCTTCCACTCAAAGATTTAGAAAATGTGGTCTTTTTCTTTTCTAAGTAGGCTCCACACTGAGCCTGGAGCCCAATGTAGGGCTCACAACCCTGAGATCAAATCCCGAGCTGAGCCACCCTGAAAGGTGCCCTGAAACTGGGATTCTTCTAAATCATAAGCCTGATCATGTCACTTTTTCGTTTTCATTAGATACTGTAACATAGAGCATGGGGTCTGTGAGCTGTGAGCCTGTCACCCCCATACCTCCTCCCTTGCAAATTTCACTGGCTTCAAGATATCAATAGAAATCTGAAAAATTGAAATGAAAAAATTAATAATAATTCCAAATGGGAGGTGTAAAACCCCTTTCAAATTTTTATTTAAAAGTAATCATAATGTGGATTCTTTTTATGATGATGTTTGATGTGATGTGGAGTGGGACTTCCAATAGTCAAAGCGTCTGTGGCCTTTGTTTAAGCCCAGGGGTATTTAAAAGCTTTCGGTTGTTCCCAATGTCCTTAGACCCCTTAATATGGCTTCCGGGCCCTTTATCATGTGGCTCCTGTTCACATGGTCAGCTTCATGTCTCATCAAATTTCCCCTTTCCCCTGGCCCTACACACAGACACACACACAGACACACAGACACACACACACACACACACACACACACACACACACACCCAGAATGTGCCCTGCTTTCTCTTGCTTTTAGGCCTTTGCACGTATCTAGAACATTCTTTTCTTTTCTTTTCTTTTACTGAGGTATAATTGACATGTAACATTATAGTAGTTTCAGGTGTACAACATAATGATTTGATATTCATATATATTGTGAGGTGATCACCCTAATAAGTCTAGTTAATAACTGTCCCGATCCATGGTTACAATTGCCTTCTCTGTGATGAGAATTTTTAAGGTCTACTCTCTTACCAACTTCCAAACATGCAATACAACGTTATTAACTACAGTCATCCCCAGGATTCATATATTTTATACCCAGAAGTTTGTACTTTTAGGCCCTCCTGCACCCAGCCCCCCCCCACTTTCCACCTGCTGTCTCTGGCAACCACCAGTCTTTATCTCTGAGCTCAGTGTTTTGTTTTAGATTCCACATATAAGTGAGATCATGTGGTATTTCTCTGTCTGATTTATTTCACTTAGCATAATGCCCTCAAGGCCCATCCCTGTTGTTGCTAATGGCTCGGCCATAGAGGATCCTCCTGTGGCAGGGGAATACAGAAGAAAGGAAAGGTGGGAGGCACTGAAGACAACTTTTATCTCCACACCAGACTGGTCTCCAAGTGTTGGCAGCAAAGCCACCCCATGCCCGGTCAGGGCACCACACATTTGCTAGGGGATTAGGGCAGTGCTGTAAACGGAACCTCACATTCCATGTGTCTAAACATTTAAGTTACAAATTAGGTTAACAGATTATTCAATAAAAAATGTTTTGCTTTTCCTTCCTTGTCAACTGTACCTTCACAAAAACAATAACAAAATCAAGCTCGGATCCAAACTGAGAATTCTTGGACTCCCAGGAGAGGGCTCTTTGCTAGAACATGGCGGCATGGGTGAGCCAGCTCTGGCTCTCATCCTGTCCCCCTTCTTTTCTCATACCACGAGGGACCTGGCAAACGTGGGGACAACCCAGCTTTCATGTCTAAGGCCCATCCACATCCCTACCAACCACCACTTCTTTGCCACACTTAGACCTGGGACTGTTCATGTTGGTGATGTCGCCCACCCTGGAAAGACTGGGCCCTAGAGGAAACTTTGTTCAGGCTCTGGAAGTGGGCGGGAGACTGTCTGGGCCAGGAATTCTGGGTCTAAGAATCTAAGGCCTGATCTGGAGGGGAAGTGACCTCCGGGTATGCATGTCTTCCCAATCCCCAGACTCTTTGACCCAGGACGGTGGGGCTAGAAGAAAGCCAAGGTGTGGTCTATAGTGCAACTCCAGGAAGGGCCCCTCTCCTCTGGGTTCAAGGCTGTGCTCCTGACCCGAGCTGGCCCCTAAAGACAGGTGCTCACCCAGGGCTGTGCGGGGTGACCTCGCCTGAGTCTTGGGTTCTGTGGGCTCTCAGCGTCTCTGGTCCAGGTGGTGGAGCTTCTTAAGGGCAAGGGGCAGGTTCTGAATTTTCTCCCTCCTCTCCCAGCCCTCAGTAGGGCTGAAGCCATGGACAGAGACAAGGTTTCTGCTGGAGCTATTTCTGTCTCTGGTGACAGCTGTTGTCCCGAGAGGCTCTTTAGCAGGTCTGATTAAGTTCTTAAAGGGGCAAAGGAGGGAAAGAGGGATAAAGAGGGCTAAAGAGAGAGAGAGCAGGACAGAGGCGGGCCAGCCACACAGACGCCAGAGGTCATTGGCTTAGCCCACAGCATCCCCAAGACCTGACCCATAGCCAAGCCCCCACTGAGTCTGTGTTGTGACTGTCTGGGGAAGAATGTGATGACCAAATGGGGTCCCATGACACCCAGAAGGCTCATCAGAACAGCAAGTGTAGTCTTCTCTGGGGACTTTGTACAATTTGGATTCGACTCCTCCCCATCCCCCAAATCTGGTTTAACCCCCCTCCCTCTGTGGCAAATCCAGACTCCTCAGTGTGAGTTTCAGGTCCCCTCACACTCCTGCTCACAGCTGGGCCTTGGCAGCACCATGGTGACTCTGGAACCTTCCCAGGATGAATGCCGGCTTCCCATTCAGTCAACAGCACCTACAACCTGCCTCCAATGCACGAACATTAATTGAATCCTTGTTTAAAACAATTAGGACTTGGGGCGCCTGGGGGGCTCAGTCGGTTAAGCATCTGACTTTGGCTCAGGTCATAATCTTGGGGCTTGGGATGGAGCTGGGCTGGGCTGCCTGCTCCGCGGGGAGTCTGCTTCTCCTTTAGCCCCTCCCCCTGCATGATCTCTGTTCCTATCTCTGTCTCTCTCTCTCTCTCAAATAAGTAATCTTTTAAAAATTAAACAAACAAACAAAAAAACCCAATTAGGACATTGGGGGAAATTGGAGTATGAACTTAGGTTAGGGAAGGAGTGTCGATCTTTTTAGGTATAAAAATAGTGTTATGGTTGTAGGGGGAAAAGGGACAAATAGCCCAACTTAGGAGGCCATGTTGAAAGGTTCATGCCTGAAGTATCACGGTCAGCAATGTCTTCTGTTCCAGTTCTTCAGAAAAATGTTGCATACACATGCACACACTCACTGAGAGGGCAAGTAGGGCAAAATATTCACGGTGTTTTATGGGTGTTTAGGGCACTCCCCTTCCAACTCTCCTGCATCTTGGAGCATAGTCACAATCTAAAGCTTGGGGAGAAAACCTAACTCAGAACTCACTTTCTGCAGGAAGACTTCCCAACTCATTCTATCCAGTGGACCTGACTTGTTCCGGATCTGGGCCTCTGCCCACAGTTTCCGTCCACTTGTACAAAGCGCTGTGGCATTTCTGCACGGATGTCCTTGGGTGTGGAGGGAGTGAGCCTCGGCGGATGCTGGGCTGGCCTGCCTTCCAACACACCCCGCCCGGCCACACACAGGTAGGCCGGCTGCCGTGCCAGGGCTCCCTCCGGGAGTTACTGAAAGTAAAGAAGGGTGCTTTTCTTTTCCCTACCTGAGTTTGTAAACCTCAATGTCTTGTTCATTTATAAAGCCCTTATGTGGACATCTTTTCCTGATCTTCACAGTACTGGGAAGTAGGTACCTTATTACCCCAACTTACAGACAGGGAGACTGAGGCTTGGAGCAGTGCAGGTGGCTTGGACACAGGCAGCATCTGGCAGGGGTAGAAAGGCGGAGGAATTGAACTTAGGTTTACTCTGCCAAAAGCTGTGCTCGTCCCCTAACACCAGCCAGCCTCGTCTAAGCTGGGCATCGGCCGCGGGCAGGGTGGGCACATGCCTCACGGCGCTGTACTCGGGACTGCAGCCGCTCCCTTGCTCCACAGGCCCGTCCTTGCTTGTGTCCCTGTTGTCCCTCCCCTCCTGATCGTGTGCTCCTGGAGGGATTAGCCCTGCCACTAGATTTCAGCATTTTACATGTTGATGGAGAGGCACATAGATTACTAGATCTTAAATTGATTTTTAAAAAATACATAAATAGCTACATTTCAGTACAGCTGGTTTCTTTCCTTACTGAATTTTATGTGTTTAGAAACATTTTGCTGAGAATGTGTCCAAAGGTGTTAGAGACTTCCAAAGGGGTCTATAGCATAAAAAATAAAGGACCTTATGGTTTGACCCTATGGTTTGACTCCAGCATTGTTCCTAACCCTGGCTTCTGGTCATGGCACTGGGAGAGCTCTGCCCCCTGGATGGAGGGAAATTTCAGGTGGGTAGCCTCAGTTTACCCCCACCAGCAGGAAAGCCCTCCCGTGCACTCTCTGCCTTTCAGCATCACTCGGCTCAGAGCTCCTTCATTCACTACCTTTCCTTCCCCTTCCTTATCCCTTCCACGCCCAGACTCTCTGAGCTCTTCCTTCAGCCTGTTTTTGAACATCCCTGAGGATAACGTCTTTTCCATGGCTCCCTGGGAGACACTATCACCAGCTGTGGCTCGTTAGATACGCTAGAAAAATCATCCCCAAGCTCCAGGGCAAGAGGCGTCTGGTCCCAGGCAGTTAGCAGTCAGAGGGGAGTGGGGATGTCTCAGCGGAGGGAACAATTAGAAGCAAGGCTCTGAGACCCCTACATCAGGCATGAGAGGATCCCCTGCCTCTGGGGAGTGCCAGGCCGCTAGCCCTGTGGCCAGCCAGGGAGGGACGGTAGAGCCCTGGTCAGGAAGCTGTTGTCTCAGTACAAAGGGAGCCGTGCCCAGGCCCCCCACTCGGAAGCAGGGCTCTAACAACTGACCTGGGGTGTCTGCTGGCCAGAGCGAGGGCTGCCTCGCGTGTCCCCCAGGCCCACGGGCATGCAGTGGCAACTTCGTTGGACTGTCCCGAGCTGCCCCCTGCCTCAGAGACCAGGCAGCATGACTCTGCTGAAGCCAGACCCTCTTTCTGGGCAGAGGCCTCGAAACATGTGCAGAGAGTAAGCACTCTGCTCTCTGACCTTCCTTCCAGTCCTGTTAGAACCAAGGCCCAAGGCCCACTTCACAGATCACGAATTAACCTCACTTCTTTTCAGCATCGTAGAAAAGCAACCGGGACTCCACCAGGCCAGGTGTGACTCGGCCCGAGCTGCTGACCTGTGGGCCTCCTTCTGCCTGACGAACACCTGCTCCTCTTCAAGGCTCACTTCAATGGTCGGCTCCCCTCTGCCTGCCCCTCGCTGATGCCCCCTGAGGTGGAACCGGGTGCCTGCCGTGCATGGCACGAGGGCCCAGCATACCATGGCATCTGTAACGAATACGTTTCTCACTCTTTTGCTTCTTTCCCTCTCTCCCCTGCCAGCTATGAGCTCTGAGAGGGCAAGAGCTCTATTTGCTGAATCTGCTGGCATGTAGTAGACATTTCATAGATGGCTCCTGAATGTATGAATGAATGAATGGCAGCCGGTCCTCCTCATTCTGAGGCAGAGGTGCAACCAGGAGGGGTCACGTGCTCGGGCCCAAATGACCATAGTCACTGTGGGGTGGGGGGGGGTGGCTGATCCCCAGGAAACTCTATGCTGACCCGATGGTCGCAGCTCAGACGTCTCTTCCCAAGCCCTCTCCTCTCCCGGGAACACACCCACACAGCTGTCAGGCTACCCCTCCGGGTGTGTCACCGGGGCTCACAGCCTGAGGTCTACACGCCACCCTCGTGTCTTGGGCACAGCTGTGTCCCAAGAGCCTGCTCTTAGTAGGTGCTTGAGTCACAATTCTCAAATCGATGAGAGAATCTCTGGTGGGTTTCACCTCTCTTCCCCCTACCCGGGGCCTCCCCATCAAAGCAGAAAAGAAAAGGCTGAGGCTTGCTGGTTCCAGAGCAGACGGACCTATGGCTTCTCGAAGGACAGGTCACAGCCCCGAGGATCCCGTGGAGTTCACCAACCCTTGTGGGACGGATGAGGACGGATGAGCCCTCCCTGAAACCATCTGGGCCCTGGGCTCAGACAGCTCGGGAGGCTGTCCCCAGCCCCCGCAGCCCCGAAGCCGCCCCTCCCAGCTCCAGGCTCGGCCCAGCCTCTGCTCTAACGTCCGGAAGGTGTCAGGTGGGGTTGCTGCTTCCAGGGTTCGGGTGGGGAAGCCACAGTCTCTCGGGGAGACCACCTTCTTACCCGGCTTTCTGAGGCCAGCCTCTCCGGAGGTGAAGGGTCCAGCGGGGGTCCTGCCGTCTGCTTTCCAGCCTGAGAGAAGAGAACGTCCGGGGGAGGGAAGACTATGTCCTAGACCTCTCCCTCCTCTTTCTCATCGCTGTGGGCTGCTGCCTCCTGCTCTTCCCTCTCTGTGTCTCAGAAGTTGTAGGGAGAGAAAGCAATGCTGACCGGAGGAAGGATCCAGCCTGGGCTGGTGTTTGTGGAGTGTGTGTGTGTGTGTGTGTGTGTGTGTGTGTGTGTGTCCCAGGAGGCCGGAAGCACAGCTCCTCCTGAACCTCGGAGGCAGCGGCCCCGCCCCTGCTCTGCGGTTGCCATGGAGACCCACCTAAGCCTCTTTCACCTGGAGCTGTGTTATCTGTAGAGCGAGCGGGGCTGGCCTGACCCAGGTGCCTGGGAAGACCCAGGTGGTGAAGAGCACCTGCGTCCCCGCTCGGGGTGGGTGGGGGTAGGGTGGCACCAACTGGGGTGGGGGTGAGCTGCTGGGGGCACGATGGGGAGCCCATCGTGGTGCAGCTCCCCTCTTCCTGCCTGCTTCCCTCCTCCAGAAGAGGGGCGATTCCAGGTGCTGGGGGGCTCGCCTTTGCCTCCCTGCATCCTTACCTGTTTTCCTCTTTGCTGCTTGGACTTCTCTCTTTCCCTCAAGGCAAGCTCAAGGGCAGGAAGTTCTGCTGACTTTCTGGAGAAGGGGACGAGGCCCAGGAAGGAGTCCAGGGAGAAGAGGGAGCATGGATCGCGGACTGGCTGGGAGGCGTTTGAGTATCTTGCGGGGCTGGCGCTAGCCTTCTGTGGCTGTTCTCCGGGATCCCATACTGGCCCGTGGGCCTCCTCACTGTCCCCGCGCTTACCGCGGGCCGGATCGAGGGCCCCCTGAGGCCCAGCCTGCGCCCACCAGACGTGAGGGGCCGCTGGCATGGATGCCTGTCGCGCTGCCAGCGGCTCGGGCCCTCGGGAGCTGCGGCGCCGGCCACCAGATGATGGGTGGACTGCCGGACACATCTAGCCCTGACGGTGTGCAAAATGAAGCAGAACGCACAGCCAAGGGGAGATTAAGCCACGACGACCTGGTCTGGCCTGTCCAGCTGCCTGCCCGCATGTCGGGCTCTTCCCAGGAAGCTCGGCCACTCTGTGCTCGAGGGACGCTTGCTTCCGCCGGGTGACTCTGCCTTCCTCATCCGGCTTCTCAAGCAGGGCTCTTAAGTCAGGATCCGGCTGCTCCTTCTCTTGACCAGCTCATGGTGCAGAGAGCCGCTGGCCCTGGAGGATGCCACATTTTGAGGAGCTGAGCTCACGTCCTTTCACATTCCCATGTGGCCCCTGCCCCAGGGCCAGCGGAGGCCACAGCAACCCGAGGCCGGTAACCAGAAGTTCCCACCTCCACCTTGGCACATCCTCAAGGGCAGAAATTCTAAGGCATTTCTGTGCCAGACATGGGGGTATGGACTAGCAGGACAAGAAGGCTCTGTCCTCCTTTTGGAGAAGGTACTAGAAGTGATTCAACGCGACCAAGTCACATACAGATTCATGCCACACAGAGGTCCAGAGCATTGTTTTGTGCGGGCACGCTGGTGGGAGGTGGCTGGGACTGGGAGATCCCGTTCCCCTCCCCCTCCAAGCGTCCCAGCGGAGCCTCTGGGAGGCTGGTCAGAGGAGTAAGAGATGGAAATCTCGCCGGAGCACAGGGAGCAGGGACAGTATTAGGGTTCAGAGCTAAAGACTTCTGTCTTTCTACTGTACGACCTTGGGTCTACTACTGGCCATTCTGTTTGAATGAAAAAATTTATCCCTTTTCTAGGGCCATGCATTAGTCTTAACACCACACCCTCAAACACACACACACACACACACACACACACACAATTAATGTAAATGAGGTCAATGTTGTCAGCCATCAAAAGGAAGATTTCATCGCAGCAAGCGGTGAGCTTCTGAACTCCTGACCTGTGGCTCTGGGGAACATGCACGAAGATGACAGGGGTTTTTGTGTCTTCCTTCCTGACACAGCTGGCTCCTTTCCTGCCCTTTTCCATGATGCCAGGTGTAGCCCCTGCCTGCAGCCTTGACGCTGTAACTCAAAGACAGCTTGGCGTTTGTGCTGACCGCTGATTTATTCTGATCTGTTAGCCTGCGGAGGCCTTGGGATCATCCGTGCTGAGTGTGACTTTGTACTAAAGAGAGAAGGTGGTGCTTGTTTTTTCTCTCTTTTGACATCAGAGGGAGTTGCTGAAGCATAGTTAAATATCCAGCTGCCATTCAGAGGGAGAAACACCAGTGGGGCTCATGACGTTGCCTCACAGACAGCGCTCGGTTAATAAATTGGAGGTGTGGAATTATGAAGCTGTTGGGCACAAGGCTAGATTAGAAACCAAGGAGAGATTGGAGAAGGTCCCTGACCCCAGATGTCAGGCTGCTCCTCCCGCTCCCTTCTCCCTGGCTTCCTTCCAGACAGTGAGGACTGCTCCAAACCCTTTCTTTTTTTTGTTTTGTTTTGTTTTAAAGATTTTATTTATTTATTTGACAGAGAGAAAGGGAGACCACAAGTAGGCAGAGAAGCAGGCAGAGGGGGAGAGGGAAGCAGGCTCCCCGCTGAGCAAGGAGCCCGACATGGAACTCGATCCCAGGACCCTGGGATCATGACCTGAGCTGAAGGTAGAGGCTTAACTCACTGAGCCACCCAGGCGCTGCTCCAAACCATTTCTAACCACTCGGTCGTGCATTGGGTTTTCAGAGTCCTACAGAAGGTCTGTGTAGCCCAAATTCTGAATGAGATTGTATTAAGCTGACACAATATTCATAGATACAGACTCATACCTCTTCTCTCCGGCAGCCCTCTCTCCACTCCTGTGGCCACATTTTCTTCTCCAAGTAAAGGCAACACTGTATCTGATGACAGGAAAAATGAAAATGCTCACTCTCCCCCCAGCTGACTTGCTTAAGCCCCAGCTCCCTTTCTCTGTCCTTTTTCCTCCCTCCTTCCTCTAGACTCAAATGCATCAAACTAAAGGGAACTGAGGAGAGAGGCACAAAGCATTTCTCATTCATTCATTCACAGAGTGTTGACTGTCTACTCTGGCTAGACCCATTTCCATAGAATTCACTTACTACCAACTTCCTTCAGATGCTGCCCGGTGTTTTGACAGACTGACCTGAGAGCCTTGGTGGCAGAAAAAGCTAGCTGTCCACCAAAGCTTCATGCTCCCTTCCCGAGTATAGACACGTTTCTGGGAAGCAGCTGTCCACATGGGGACTCCGTCGCTCAGCCTCCCTGGCATCCAGGTAGCATCCAGGGACGACGGAATGTGGGTGGACGGGAGGCAGGCCACTGTAAGGTCGGGCTTAGAATGTCTCTAATGTATGTTTTCACTTTCCATCTTTTCCCACTTGCTGATGGGCAGCAAGGACTCTGGTCCTGGAGCACAGTGGAGCCACAGTTTGGAAGGAGGCATGGTCTAAATTATGTGGAAGACCGTCCACCAGTCACCCCTGCTGAACTCTAATAGTGCAAGAAATGTGTGGGTCAAGCCATTTGGGGTTTCTCTGCCACAGCATTGGCCCAACCGTAACTAGTGGAAAGCCCTGTGAGTAGGGATGGCTGTGGAAACCTTCGGCCCTTCCCTTGGTTCCTGGAGATCAAAGCTCTTCCTGACATGTTCCCTCCAAGATTTCCTATCCTCATCCCAAATAAATTAATCACCTCACTCCACATTGTCTCATGCCTTGTGCACAATGCACCCTCTGTCCCAAGGGCACTCCCACCTGGGGAAGTCTTACTTATCCCTCGAAATTTAGCTCCAGTGGTAAAACCCTAGAAAGTTTTCCTATCTTCCCAGCTGCTCCCTCCTCTCCACTCCCTGAAGCTCCATTCTTAGTTCTGTACATACAGCTGACCTTCATTACTCACGGATTCCATATTGGCCAATTTTCCTACTCGCTAAAATCTGTTATCCCCAAATCAATGCTCACGACACTTTTGTGGTCATTCCGGACCTTTACAAAGCATTGAAAAATATGACTCGCCCGGCAAGCACATCCCCAGCTGAGGCCAAACAAAGCGACCCTCGACCTTCCTGTCTCGGGGCTCACACTACGAACAAGTGTCTTTGTCACGGTCTGGTTAGTGCCACACTTTCCCCACTTGGTGCTTTTTGCTGGTGATTCTCCATCTGACACAGCCCCAGGCGCGGCGCTGGAGTGCCACATGCTGGTCCCAAGCACAAGTGGGCTGTGACGTGCCTTACAGAGAAAATACCCGAGCTTCGTCCAAGTCCGAGTTACAGAGCTCTTGGCCATGAGTTCAGTGTTCACGAGTCAACAATATATAAAAATAACAGTACTTTAACCAGAAATACACACAAAATGAGGTTATGGATGGAACGGTTGGCACAAACGTCATGACCGGAGGCTTTTGGGAAACTCACCCTGTATTTCCCCCAGGAGCGATTGTTCAGTATTTGCTAATTCAATGTTTGCAGTGACTTTTAGGACATTACCTCAGCTCATGAGAATCGGCTGTGCCTGGCGCTGTTTCCTGAGCACGGGGTTCCGCATCCCCGGTGGAGGGACAGCTCCTCAAGGACAGGGAGCCCAAGCCCCAGCACTTGCCACATACGGGTTTGTCCTGCATGGGTTGGAAGATGACAGTGAGAGCAGCCTGAGCCCGGTGTCTGTGCTAAGCGCATGTCCCAGACCTGCCCCTGAGTTCTCCCTGAACCTGAAAGTGCCCTGGGAGATGAACTGTCACGGCTCAAGGGCCCGCAGGCAATAGACAGAAGCCAGGCAAGGACGGCCTGTGAGGTGCTAAGTGCACACCGTGGGGGGTGGGGTGGCAGGTGGAGCCAGGGGCATCAGAGGGTGACCCCGGAGGCCTGGGCAGGTTGCATCCAGTCTCCCTAGGAAAGCAGGGGAGCCCCTTCTGCTCAAGCTGGAAATGCTTCTGGGAGGAGGCCAAGTAATGGAAAACCAGTGGGAAGAGGGGGCCTGGTGTGTGGCAGTGCATCAGGGAGAGCAAAGCCCGAGGTGGCACGCACTAATGGGGGCCCTCTGGGTGGGCACCGGTGTGAGACCGTGGAGGAGAAGGCCCGGGGCCTGGGAAGAATGACATGGGAGAAGGTGTGACTGTGAGGGGGGATTACCACGTGGACCTGATCGTCGCATGTGCACCTTCATAGATTCTAGAATCAGTTCCCAAGGAAGAGCACCAGTGAGCCCCGAGCATGGGGGCAGCCCAGCGGTGAGTCCGCTGCCGGCCTCCCAGAGGCTGTTTGAACCAGGTGCGAAGAAGGAGGGGGAGGTCGGGTTGTCCGGGCACTCTGACTTGGGTGGTGGCGAGACGTGACATCCGCGGGGAAGCCAGGCTCAGCTCTGGCCGTGTGGACGTGGAGCGGACTGTGTGACTCCCCGTGGAGAGATCCATGGCCAGCTCCATGCCGCAGGAGAAAGGGTTTGGGGAAAGATACAGATGTGGGGGTGGTCAGGAGCAGGGTAAAGGGGTAGCTCTGGGCACAGGTGGACAGACTCAGATCACAGAGGACCACAAGAGAAGAGAGCCTGGGACAGACCCTCCAGCCCGGGAGGAACAGGCTGGGAAAGCACCAGGGAGCCGGGTGTCCCGCGCTTAGTTCAGCTGCGTTCCCACCCAGGGCTGTGCAAAGGAACACAGGGCAATTAAGTAAGCACCTCCTGGTAATGCGTCTCCCCAGTGTCCTGACACCATCCCAGGGCCCTGGCGAAACTCCGGGCCGTGTTATATAGGATGTGAGCACTTAGGAGAGAGAGTGGAGATAAGCGGCACTAGCAGATATTTACAATGGGTCTGGAGAAGGACCCCCAGAGAGACGGAGGAAGGGTGGTCAGGGAACGTCAGCAGTGACGCCTCTGGTGTCCCTGTCCCATCTTGATGGCTCGTGTCTGCTCCGAGCGCAGCTCTGGAGGGCAGTTCTTTTAGAAGTCAGAGGTTCCTCTGACAACACCCGCTTGATCTCACAACCACCCGAGCCTGAGGACACCCACTGGGCCCACCGGTGACTGTAGTCCCCGAGCATGGGGCAGCTAGTGTCACTGGGGACAGTCTTCAACCTATGGGGGATGGGAGCTGGCAGATAAACGCTCCAGACTCCCATCCATTGGAAGGTATGATGTCACGATTCCCAGGGGACCCCCAGGGACTCAGACCCTGCTGCCCTCGGTGGCGGCCCTGCTAACACATCCTGGGCTGGTTTCCCTCCTTCCTGTCTCACTCTCCCGTGTCCTCACTCCTGCCTCCTCCCAGGCTCCGAGAGCCGCCTCCACAGCCTTGTCCTGGGCTCTGCTTCTGGAAAAGTCGAAATGTAGGGGTGGGTGTGACCTGAAATGTCACCAAGAGGTCAAGTAGCAAGCTGCCCGGGAAGAGCCAATAGCAACAGGGCGGTGGTGCAGGTTGCTGGGTGGACACTGCCATTGGAGCGCAGGGGCAGGACCAGTCCCCCCGGGGCAGCCACCCCAGCACGCCGACACCTGTTCTGTGTGACCCTTAACACTGGGCTCAGCCTCGGTCCCCAGAAAGAATTATGCCCTCAGCCGGAGTTGATGATAGGGTTTCTGGACAAACTGAATTGGGGGGTTTTCATCACATCCTGAGCTGCAAACTCTGTCAACATTCTGCGGACATTGACTTTTCTTAGCCACTGCCAGGTCCCCTGTCTGCTGCCTGGACCCTCTGTCCTGCTGGCTCCAGGACACCTGTCCTCCACGTAGTGGGGTCCCCTCTCACAGCCACCTCCCTGAGGGCCAGGCTTGCTCATTCGATGACCTGAGCGGTGAGCCACAGCGAGAAGCCTCAGGTCTGAGCGACCCTGTCCCTGGGAACCCCATGTCGGCAGGGAGCCTCCTCCCACAGTGGCTTTGTACAGAGAAGACATGCCCAGGACAATAGACTGGCCCATCTGGTATAATCTTTCCCCACGAGTCCATGCAGATGCCTTTCTGTCGCATACAAAGGACAGAAAACAAGTCTTTCCCCCAGAGTCCTTTACAACAGACTCACAAATGGCTCGAGCTTCCATGAGCCCTTGGGGAACTCCAAGTGCACTGTTTTCATTCACCACATCCGCCCCCCCTTGCACATCCCGGGCCCCACTCATCCCCTCAGCGGAGGCTCACTAAGCACCGACTTTGTGCCAATCCCAGGCTTGGTGCCTCAGTTGGAGGTGGAGAAGGCAGGCTCCTCTGTGCCCCCCGGGCTTCCAGCCAGAGAAGGGAAGCAAAGCCGTGTGCTGCGGGCTGAAGGCACCGCAGAGATCCAGGGATGGCCCCTGACAGCAGCCCCCGTTTTCCCAGCTCCCAGTCTCTCCTACACCACACACACCCCTCTCTTGTCCCTGGGTTGCTCAATGGAGAGAATCCTGGAGCAGCAGGGGGCTTGGATGCCCTTTACTCCCACAAGGCTGAGATGAGGAGCTCAGAAAGGGCAAGCAACTTGCTCACACAGCACAGCAGTTGGGTGACAAAGCCCGGACAGTAACCTGTGCTCCTTTCTTCCAAACTTCCCCTGCCCCCTGCTGCCTTGATGGCATCCACCAATCAGATAGAAGCCCCTGGGCACATACACCCTAAGCTTTGGTCATGAGCACCAAATTCATCTCATTTTCTCTGTGTTACAAGTGCTTTATCTGGAGGGGACAAGGAGGTGGTGTGTGTGTGTGTGTGTGTGTGTGTGTGTGTGTGTGTGTGTGTGTGTATGCGCGTGCACATGCGCATGTGCGTTGGATGGAATTCCATGTTATTTGCTCTTTTCATAATCCTGGAAGTCTGCTTGGAAGAGGAGGTATTGCCGCAGTCTTTCAAATAGATAGACACCCTTGGTGGGCTGTTTAAGGAGGGATCCCAGGGACAGGAGGAGTAGGGATTGCATCTGAAATCCAGGGCTGGTGAAAGAGTCAGGATGTCAGTGGAAGCCAAGCACCTGTCCTGTGTAAGACCCTGTACTGGCTGCTGGAAGTTGCCAGAAGGTAGCAGCAGGCTCCCCAGGGTTTCTTTCACCTGTGCCCTTGGTTCTTTCCTCAGAAGATAAAACAAAGGCACTTTAAGCCCCTCCTGCCAAACAACCAGTCAGGAAAGGAAAAGAGCAGAGCCATCCAATCGGACCACAGAGGGCCACAATGCATGTTGAGCCCCTAGCACACTTGTCACTGGGGCAAGAGGCCCCTTTCACTTCTAGGTGGGAGCTGCCAGCTGCCTGGAATCTCTGGAAGCCCCGAGGGGAGGAAATTAGTCATGGGAATTGAGAAACCAAGACCCCAAACTTGTTCTGACACATACTAGAAGCGATCTCACTGTCCGCCAACGGAGCGGCTACTTACAAATTATGCAACATCAACAGCCCAGACTTTATCCAGCCATAAGATAATAATTGTGTCGGGGTGCCTGGGTGGCTCAGTGGGTTAAGCCTCTGCCTTCGGCTTAAGTCATGATCCCAGGGTCCTGGGATCGAGCCCCGCATCGGGCTCTCCGCTCAGCGGGGAGCCTGCTTCTCCCCTCTCTCTCTGCCTCTCTGCCTACTTGTGATCTTTGTCTGTTAAATAAATAAATAAAATCTTAAAAAAAGGAAAAGATAATAATTGTGTCAAATTTGCTTTCTAGCTTCCCACCCTGTAGAAACAGCAGGACCCATCACGGTGGGTGTACACATGGGTAAAGGCAGGGAGAGGTAAACTGCACCCCAGAAAGCCCTGGCGTTGTGCCAGAATTCCCGCGTTAGCCTCGGCAAAGAACAGGACTGCCTATGTGCTGGGATTCTTTTCAAGGTGTTCGATCTGTGGCTAAATTGCCCTTGAAAACCAGTCTGATATTTAAAAAGGACTCTTGAAGGAAAAGAGAAGGTTACTCATTGATTTCCTAGCCAGTAGCTTTTCTGCTTGTGCTAAGGTCACCTGATGCTCTGGACGGATGGGATGCTCAGAGAACCGTAGCACTTCTCTCCGCTTGAACATTTCTTCAAAGGGCTGTCGAATTCAGACTCCCTGCCCGGCTGGGTCTTCTGAACAGGCTAAACATGACACGCACATAATAATTCACTCTATAAAAACAAAAGCGTCTGCTTGACTCTAGAGTTGGACAAGATCATCTTAGGGGACGTGTAACTATAAACGATCTGTGTGGTCCATGCTGTCCTGGGCGGACACAAGTCGTGTAAGACCACCCTTGTGGGGCTGGGTGAATCTGTTGGATGACTTCACCAAGGAAGGATTAAACACAGAAACCCAAGGGACTCATTTGCTGGAGAGTCACGGCGCCCAGGAAGGAAAGTAAGGGGCAATCATTTTGCATTTGCAGACCACCTGACTGTACAAAACACGTTCATGTCCTTTGTTTCATTTTATTAGCAAATATGGGTCCTCCCTCACCAGGGCCCAAGGAGGAGGGCAGGGCAGATTCCTGTGTGCTGGGGCTGTGGAGAATCTTAGCACGCATTCCCTGAGTCCAGAAAGCCTCAGAAACACTTTGCTCTCTGGTGTCTGAGCTGAGTGGCCCAGAATCATCCTCAAACTCATGGGAGCTCAGCAAAGAGGCAGCGGGGCGTTATGGATGAGGAGTGGGGCTCTTCAAAGACCTGTAGCTTTCTAGTTTCAAACCTAGACCCATACTTGTTTGCTGTGTGATCCAAGCTTCGTGCTGGAACTCCTCTGAGCCTCGGGTAGAATTTAGGGCAAGATTACCTTCCTTAGAGAGTTGTAAGGACCAGAGGAGATATGTATGTAACACATCTTGTCCAGCAAGAGCCCTACTCAGAATAGCCCCCTCAGTAAACTCTGGGGACCCCCGAGAGTCCATTTCTCTGTGTTACTGTACTGGTATGTTGAGGGGCAGAGCGCATGGCCCCCATTTCCTTAGTTCTAACAAAAGACACCCCAACAGTGGAGACCTTAGCTCTGTGAGAAGGAGCAGGGTGGTGAACGGGCTCTCTCATTCCCCCTATTCCAGACTCTCCTGGAGCCCTCAGGACAGCAAGGTGCCTCCAGCGCAGACCCGGACCTGTCCCCAGGGGCAGGCTTCTGGCTGTGGACAGGGGCCCAGTCAGAGTCCCATCTTGTCCTGCCAGGAGTCATCCCTGCCCACCAAGCTCCAGACCAAACCCTGAGGCTCCTGGCAGTGTATCCGGAGACAGACTTTGCTCCCTGGTGGAAGAGATGCTGTGTTCAGGGCCCAGGCTGGGCCCTTTGGGAGACTTGGGGATGGGAGCCTGGCTCCCAGAGGTCTCTGGGTTTCCAGGTCCTGTGCGGACACCCATGCCCATCATGGGTCCTCAGTTTCCCTAATGCCCTGACAGGAGAAAGGGCCTAGTCCGCCACAGGCAGGCCTCTGCAAGGCCCCTGGCACACCGGCTCGTCTCATTCCCACAGGTGCCCCCAGGATGGCGTTCAGAGTGTCTCCCTTTGCCAATGAGAAAACTGAGGCTTGGGTAGTAATTGTTGAAAGTTTCAGAGTTCAGACTAGCGGACCCGAAAGGCCAGGCCCTTTGCCATCACCCCAGAGGCCAGAGCTGTCACTCATGGTTCTGGTGATGGCTGCCCAGGGTCAGAGGCCCCCTCAGCTGATGGAACAGGGAGGGAGCCCGGTGTTCAAGGAGCCTGGCCCTGTGGCTGGGGTCCTATTTCCATGGTTTTTGAGAAATGGAGCCAAGCCAAGGCTCACACCTCTCACTCTGTGCACCCTGACCTAGAGGCCGACTGTGCACAGAACTGCCCAGTGGGCAGCCCCCGGGGCTCCTGTGCGTGCGCTACCTCCGATCCTATACCTCTTCCTCAGTCCTCCTTCACTGGGGCAACTCAACCCCCAGCTCCCTTGTGCGATGGGCAGACGCGGAGCGGGGTTAATTACAGGGCTCAGAACTCTCTGCTGGCCCCTGAGACTTCTACCTGTTTATGCAGAAGTCAGGCACCACACCTGAGGGGCTCCTTGGAGAGGTTGCCAGAAAGCTCAACTGTGCTTCTCCTGCCTGCCCTCAGTCAGTCTCCAGGGCCACCCACGCGGGTAAACATGGCAACAGGAGTAACCTGCTCTCATTACCCGGCATCATCCTGAACTCAAACATCTCTCCCTCACCAGCCAAATAGGCACGGAGGCCTTCGAGCTTTGGGCTCCAGCTGGGAGACCAAGTTATTCTACCCATCCCATGCATCCCATACCTGTCCCCAAGGAGCTACTGAGTCCTCATTGCACAAATGCCCTCCAGTGGCTTCCTCCACTTCTCTTAGGGTCCTGACATTTGGTGGTAGTAACTTATGCTTCTTTATAATCCACCTTCTTCCAGAAATGGCCTGATGCCTAGTAGGCATTCAATACACTGGTTAATAAAATTATTGATTTACATATTTTTGAAATCCATGCAATACATGGTCAAATTAAATTTTATAAAAAAATGGATACTAAGGCCCAGACTGTGGCCTTGAAATGCCATCTAGCCCTGAAACTAATGAAGGTTTCTTGGAGAAGAGGCTGATTCCAGGCCTGGGCAGGAAATGTATCAGGCGAACCTGAACTTCTTCTATTGCAAAGCAAGGAAACCATGGAAGACTGCTACAGCCTACAGGCCCGATGGCAATGTCGAGTCAGCGTGGGTTTGATCAAGCACCCAGCCTTGCTGAGGAGGTGCGTGTAGCAAGAGGTTCAGGGATTTTCAACTGTGATCAGAGAGCTAGAGAGTGAATCCGAACCCAACGTTCTTTCTGCCTCTGCTGCTCACCGTGCAGGAGCACAGGAACCAGGCTTTAGGGGCAGCCTTAGGTAGGCCTTGAGAACACGAGCACTGTGTTGGGCTGCCTGAGTTCAAATCCAGTCCCACCACTTGCTAGCTACACGATTTGGAAAAAATTATTCAGTCTCTCTGTGCCTTGGTGTGTCATCATCCCTCACAGCACCTACTTCATAGGGCTGTGTAAGGATTAAATAAAATACATAAAACAGGGTCTCGAACATGGGGAGTGCTCAATGGAAGTTGAGCTTTTATTATCTGTACTTACTATTTATTTTATTTTTATATTTATTATACAATATATATTATTATTTACAACATAATATAATAATATATAATTATATGATATATGATAATATATAATACATAATATACAATATAATAGATAAATATTAAAATAATAAAATATATAATAATTAAATACAAATATAATATATAAATATATAATATATGAATTAATGATAATAAATATAATAGATTACATTTTATTTATTATTTATTATCTGTATTCATGGAGCATAGCTTTCTCTGGGTCTCAGAGAAAATGGTGATTCTGGGCGGGGAGAGAAATACGGGTGTTGAGACAAAAGAGAGACGATGGAACCCCCCAAACCAGCTGCACTTCAAATGTTGGGAGTCGGTGTGCAGGAAGTAAAACCCCAAGAGCCATGACACACCTTTACAGCATAGTGATCTGCCTCTGCAGACCCATTTTCAGACACTGCCTTATTGTGGCCTCCTAACAACCCTGTCTGGTGGGTACTTTTACCCCCACTTTGCAGCAGGGGAAATGGAAGCTCTGAGAAGCGAGCTCCTGCCCAAGTTAGGCAAGTAAGCGGGGAGGGAACTCCAGGTGGGGGACAGACTGAGTTACTCTGACCACCTGCAGGGGAGCAAGACCTCAGGGGCCGCAGGGCCTGCAGCACGACCTACCTGTACCGGTGGTTCTCAGTCCTGAGCGTGCATCAGAGTTCCCCGGAGGGTGTGTTACCGCGGGAGGCCGGGCCCAGCAGCCGAGCTTCTGATGCCGGAAGTCAGATCAGACCTGGAGCCGAGCCAGCCCGGCGCGCTCCAACGGTGAGCAGCGGCGACATCTGGTGGCGAGGAGGGGGACGAACGTCGGGTTCCTGCGAACCTCTGCCCCCGCGGCGCCCACCGGTCCAGGGTGGCGCGGGTCAGGGCAGCACCTCCCAGACAGATTGTAACAGGCCCAGTTCCTGCCGCGGAGTGTGCGGGCGCCTGCGTGCCTCGTGGTACCCTAGGGCCTGGGAGACCTAATCTTGCCTTTTCAGTTCGGAACACTTTCATCCTCATTTTTTGAATGAGTTCCCTCCCTGGTCTTTCCACCTGTGAACAAGGACCTTGAAGTCTCGGCCACAGAGGGGATGGCCGCGGGGTCGGCAGGGGGACTGCTCGGACGCCGTGTCTCCCTGGACAGTTGCGTTGAGCCCATAGGAGCATTTTACAATGTAGCGCGACATGCATCCTCGGCAGGATTTTCGGACTGATTCCGGCTGCCGTGCGGACTTGGGAGCGGGTGGGGACGGGAGCCCGGAGGCCCGCACGCCGCCGCGCTCTGATTTCCTCCGGTCGCGTAGTCGTTCACGCGGTAGACCGGGGAGTAGGCGGCCCCGGGGTTGGACAGCTGTGGGAACAGAAAGCGACGCCAGGCCTGTGTCTGCAAGACCTGGGGTGGGTTCTGTCCTCTGCCCCTGAGCCGCGACACGTCGGGCACCTGGCCGCAGCGTTGGGATTGCTCGTCCAGCAGAGCGCGAAGACGAAAGCAGCCACTCAGGCGGAGGCGCCCTGCGGAGTCCGGCCCCGGGAGCGGGCGCAGGAGGAACGGTCGGTAAGAGGGGGCCCGCCAGGGGCGCCCCGAGGCGGGATGGCCGGAGAGGGAGGCTCCGAGGAGGTGGCGGTGTGCGGGGCCGAGGAGAGGAAAGAGCATTACCATTCCGTTCCCACCAACGCCAAGCCCCGCCCCTACCCCCCACCCCCTCCACCCCCAGCCCCCAGGCGGCAGCCCTGCGCAGAGGACCTCGCCCTGCCCTGGCCTCCGCTTCCCGCGGCAAAACGAGCGGCTAGGGGCGCTTCCGAGGCTTCCTCCCCGCCCGAGTCCCGTGGAAGTTTCGCTCCCAGCCGGGAGAAGGAATTAATAATTAACCACCAGGTTAACGGGGACGTCTGGGGCGCGGAGGGAACCGAGTGCTGCCCCCAGTCCGGGTGACCCC